CTTTGAGGAGGCCACGCTATTCGTGAGTCGGCAGGACTATGGGATGAACGATGTCATTCCTCTGTTGCACGTCCTGGAACAAATGCAGTTAACAATGGCTGGTCAGGGTGCGGTAGACGTGGCGCACAGATCTCAACGCCACATGACCCCTGTGGGGGCAGGACAGGAAGAAGAGGAGGAGGTAGAGGAGGACATTGGTGCTCAGGAATTATTGAGTGAAATGGGTGGTTTTTCCACTCAGCGGACAGGAGTGGAGGAGCAGGAGCATCTGGTAGAGGAGGAGGAGGAGGCAGAGGACCCAGACGCACCGTGGCAGTATGCTGTGGAGATGGAGGCAGGGAGTCCCTCGCATTCCTTGGCACAAATGGCCCATAGCATGCTCGGTTGCTTGCGTAGCGACAGCCGAATAATAACCATCAGACAGAGGGATGACTTTTGGGCTGTCCACCTTGTTGGACCCTCGCTACCTTCAAAAAATGGTGGCCTTTTTTCACACCTGCTGAGAGAGGCCAAAATAACGTACTATAAAAACCACCTATGTAGTCAGTTGGTCTCTGCCTTTCTGCGCCAACGTCCATCCTCAGACACTGTGGGCCCTGTGCGCACGGCTCGCGTTCCGCTGCCATGGCAGCAGGGGAGGGGTGGGGTGGTAGGAGCAGTGGCAGCTCCACCAGCAGCGGCTGCCTCAGTCTGCAGTCGATGATGAGTAGCTTTCTTCACCAGCGCAGTGAGGAAACTACTAACCAGCCGCAGCAGCAGCAGCAGCATCAGGTGGACCTGGAGCAGGACCTCAAACAACAGGCTCGAGCCTACTTGGACAGCACCCTGCCAACCGAGGTAGACAATCCCCTTGACTACTGGGCAACGAAACTTGACCTTTGGCCCCAACTAGCTGAATTTGCCCTTGAAAGGCTGTCATGCCTGGCCAGTAGCGTGGCATCGGAGCGCGTGTTTAGTGCGGCAGGAGGTATTGTAACTCCGCGGAGGACACGACTGTCCACCCAAAGTGTGGAGAGACTCACGTTTGTGAAAATGAATCAGGCGTGGATTAGTTTGGATTTCAAACCACCAGTTCCTGACACAACTGACTAAATCCGCCATGAATCATGCCCCAAACATGTTATTATTTTTAACATAGGCCTCTGTATGGCCTTCAATTTAAGCTGCTTACGCTTCGCCACTCTGCCATGGGCCCCTGTACCGCCTCCTCTTGCTGCTGCCAGGTCCAGAGTGTGTCATGGGTCCCTGTACGGCCTCCCATTGCTGCTGTCTCCATCGCCACACTCTGCCATGTGCCACTTTCAGGTCTCCTACACACTGCTGGTGGGTTCCATTTTGTCATAGGGTGCTGGCAGATTACGGGCCTCCCATTGCTGCTCTGCCAGGCCCGTAATCTGCCATGGGGCCCCCGTACCGCCTCCTCATGCTGCTGCCAGGTCCAGAGTGTCTCATGGGTCCCTGTACGGCCTCCCATTGCTGCTGTCTCCATCGCCACACTCTGCCATGTGCCACTTTCAGGTCTCCTCACACTGCTGGTGGGTTCCATTTTGTCATAGGGTGCTGGCAGATTACGGGCCTCCCATTGCTGCTGCCAGGCCCGTAATCTGCCATGGGCCCCTGTACCCGCCTCCTCATGCTGCTGACGTTGCAACAAGGTTTGAATTCTCAACCCTACATATGTTAGACCGCCTTTACGAACAGCGAAGGCCATCACCGATTTCCTGATGTTACAAGCGGATAAAGGTACTCCCCTGTGTAACTTAGATGTCAGCCATTGGCAGCTCATGCGTGACACCTGCCGCTTGCTCAGCCCTTTGAGGAGGCCACGCTATTCGTGAGTCGGCAGGACTATGGGATGAACGACTTCATTCCTCTGTTGCACGTCCTGGAACAAATGCTGTTAACAATGGCTGGTCAGGGTGCGGTAGACGTGGCGCACAGATCTCAACGCCACATGACCCCTGTGGGGGGCAGGACAGGAAGAAGAGGAGGAGGTAGAGGAGGACATTGGTGCTCAGGAATTATTGAGTGAAATGGGTGGTTTTTCCACTCAGCGGACAGGAGTGGAGGAGCAGGAGCATCTGGTAGAGGAGGAGGAGGAGACAGAGGACCCAGACGCACCGTGGCAGTATGCTGTGGAGATGGAGGCAGGGAGTCCCTCGCATTCCTTGGCACAAATGGCCCATAGCATGCGGGTTGCTTGCGTAGCGACAGCCGAATAATAACCATCAGACAGAGGGATGACTTTTGGCTGTCCACCTTGTTGGACCCTCGCGCTACCGTTCAAAAATGGTGGCCTTTTTCACACCTGCTGAGAGGGAGGCCAAAATAACGTACTATAAAAACCACCTATGTAGTCAGTTGGTCTCTGCCTTTCTGCGCCAACGTCCATCCTCAGACACTGTGGGCCCTGTGCACGCTCGCGTTCCGCTGCCATGGCAGCAGGGGAGGGGTGGGGTGGTAGGAGCAGTGGCAGCTCCACCAGCAGCGGCTGCCTCAGTCTGCAGTCGATGATGAGTAGCTTTCTTCACCAGCGCAGTGAGGAAACTACTAACCAGCCCGCAGCAGCAGCAGCATCAGGTGGACCTGGAGCAGGACCTCAAACAACAGGCTTGGGCCTACTTGGGACAGCACCCTGCCAACCGAGGTAGACAATCCCCTTGACTACTGGGCAACGAAACTTGACCTTTGGCCCCAACTAGCTGAATTTGCCCTTGAAAGGCTGTCATGCCCGGCCAGTAGCGTGGCATCGGAGCGCGTGTTTAGTGCGGCAGGAGGAGGTATTGTAACTCCGCGGAGGACACACGACTGTCCACCCAAAGTGTGGAGAGACTCACGTTTGTGAAAATGAATCAGGCGTGGATTAGTCTGGATTTCAAACCACCAGTTCCTGACACAACTGACTAAATCCGCCATGAATCATGCCCCAAACATGTTATTATTTTTAACATAGGCCTCTGTATGGCCTTCAATTTAAGCTGCTTACGCTTCGCCACTCTGCCATGGGCCCCTGTACCGCCTCCTCTTGCTGCTGCCAGGTCCAGAGTGTGTCATGGGTCCCTGTACGGCCTCCCATTGCTGCTGACTTCATCGCCACACTCTGCCATGTGCCACTTTCAGGTCTCCTCACACTGTTGGTGGGTTCCATTTTGTCATAGGGTGCTGGCAGATTACGGGCCTCCCATTGCTGCTGCCAGCCCGTAATCTGCCATGGGCCCCCGTACCCCGCCTCCTCATGCTGCTGCCAGGTCCAGAGTGTGTCATGGGTCCCTGTACGGCCTCCCATTGCTGCTGTCTCCATCGCCACACTCTGCCATGTGCCACTTTCAGGTCTCCTCACACTGCTGGTGGGTTCCATTTTGTCATAGGGTGCTGGCAGATTACGGGCCTCCCATTGCTGCTGCTGCCAGGCCCGTAATCTGCCATGGGCCCCCGTACCCCGCCTCCTCATGCTGCTGCCAGGTCCAGAGTCTCTCATGGGTCCCTGTACGGCCTCCCATTGCTGCTGTCTCCATCGCCACACTCTGCCATGTGCCACTTTCAGGTCTCCTCACACTGCTGGTGTGTTCCATTTTGTCATAGGGTGCTGGCAGATTACGGGCCTCCCATTGCTGCTGCCAGGCCCGTAATCTGCCATGGGCCCCCGTACCCGCCTCCTCATGCTGCTGCCAGGTCCAGAGTCTCATGGGTCCCTGTACGGCCTCCCATTGCTGCTGTCTCCATCGCCAGACTCTGCCATGTGCCACTTTCAGGTCTCCTCACACTGCTGGTGGGTTCAATTTTGTCATAGGGTGCTGGCAGATTACGGGCCTCCCATTGCTGCTGCCAGGCCCGTAATCTGCCATGGGCCCCCGTACCGCCTCCTCATGCTGCTAGCCAGGTCCAGAGTGTGTCATGGGTCCCTGTACGGCCTCCCATTGCTGCTGTCTCCATCGCCACACTCTGCCATGTGCCACTTTCAGGTCTCCTCACACTGCTGGTGGGTTCCATTTTGTCATAGGGTGCTGGCAGATTACGGGCCTCCCATTGCTGCTGCCAGGCCCGTAATCTGCCATGGGCCCCTGTACCGCCTCCTCATGCTGTGACGTTGCAACAAGTGTGAATTCAACCCTACATATGTTAGACCCGCCTTTACGAACAGCGAAAGGCCATCACCGATTTCCTGATGTTACACAAGCGGATAAAGGTACTCCCCTGTGTAACTTAGATGTCAGCCATTGGCAGCTCATGCGTGACACCTGCCGCTTGCTCAGACCCTTTGAGGAGGCCACGCTATTCGTGAGTCGGCAGGACTATGGGATGAACGACGTCATTCCTCTGTTGCACGTCCTGGAACAAATGCTGTTAACAATGGCTGGTCAGGGTGCGGTAGACGTGGCGCACAGATCTCAACGCCCACATGACCCCTGTGGGGGCAGGACAGGAAGAAGAGGAGGAGGTAGAGGAGGACATTGGTGCTCAGGAATTATTGAGTGAAATGGGTGGTTTTTTCCACTCAGCGGACAGGAGTGGAGGAGCAGGAGCATCTGGTAGAGGAGGAGGAGGAGGAGACAGAGGACCCAGATGCACCGTGGCAGTATGCTGTGGAGATGGAGGCAGGGAGTCCCTCGCATTCCTTGGCACAAATGGCCCATAGCATGCTTGGTTGCTTGCGTAGCGACAGCCGAATAATAACCATCAGACAGAGGGATGACTTTTGGCTGTCCACCTTGTTGGACCCTCGCTACCGTTCAAAAATGGTGGCCTTTTTCACACCTGCTGAGAGAGAGGCCAAAATAACGTACTATAAAAACCACCTATGTAGTCAGTTGGTCTCTGCCTTTCTGCGCCAACGTCCATCCTCAGACACTGTGGGCCCTGTGCGTCTCGCGTTCCGCTGCCATGGCAGCAGGGGAGGGGTGGGGTGGTAGGAGCAGTGGCAGCTCCACCAGCAGCAGCTGCCTCAGTCTGCAGTCGATGATGAGTAGCTTTCTTCACCAGCGCAGTGAGGAAACTACTAACCAGCCGCAGCAGCAGCAGCATCAGGTGGACCTGGAGCAGGACCTCAAACAACAGGCTCGGGCCTACTTGGACAGCACCCTGCCAACCGAGGTAGACAATCCCCTTGACTACTGGGCAACGAAACTTGACCTTTGGCCCCAACTAGCTGAATTTGCCCTTGAAAGGCTGTCATGCCCGGCCAGTAGCGTGGCATCGAGCGCGTGTTTAGTGCGGCAGGAGGTATTGTAACTCCGCGGAGGACACGACCTGTCCACCCAAAGTGTGGAGAGACTCACGTTTGTGAAAATGAATCAGGCGTGGATTAGTCTGGATTTCAAACCACCAGTTTCCTGACACAACTGACTAAATCCGCCATGAATCATGCCCCAAACATGGTTATATTATTTTTTAACATAGGCCTCTGTATGGCCTTCAATTTAAGCTGCTTACGCTTCGCCACTCTGCCATGGGCCCCTGTACCGCCTCCTCTTGCTGCTGCCAGGTCCAGAGTGTGTCATGGGTCCCTGTACGGCCTCCCATTGCTGCTGACTTCATCGCCAGACTCTGCCATGTGCCACTTTCAGGTCTCCTTACACTGTTGGTGGGTTCCATTTTGTCAAAGGGTGCTGGCAGATTACGGGCCTCCCATTGCTGCTGCCAGGCCCGTAATCTGCCATGGGCCCCCGTACCGCCTCCTCATGCTGCTGCCAGGTCCAGAGTGTGTCATGGGTCCCTGTACGGCCTCCCATTGCTGCTGTCTCCATCGCCAGACTCTGCCATGTGCCACTTTCAGGTCTCCTCACACTGCTGGTGGTTCCATTTTGTCATAGGTGCTGGCAGATTACGGGCCTCCCATTGCTGCTGCCAGGCCCGTAATCTGCCATGGGCCCCCGTACCGCCTCCTCATGCTGCTGCCAGGTCCAGAGTCTCTCATGGGTCCCTGTACGGCCTCCCATTGCTGCTGTCTCCATCACCACACTCTGCCATGTGCCACTTTCAGGTCTCCTCACACTGCTGGTGTGTTCCATTTTTTGTCATAGGGTGCTGGCAGATTCTCATGCTGCTGCCAGGTCCAGAGTGTCCTCATGGGTCCCTGTACGGCCTCCCATTGCTGCTGTCTCCATCGCCACACTCTGCCATGTGCCACTTTTCAGGTCTCCTCACACTGCTGGTGGGTTCAATTTTTGTCATAGGGTGCTGGCAGATTACGGGCCTCCCATTGCTGCTGCCAGGCCCGTAATCTGCCATGGGCCCCCGTACCGACTCCTCTCATGCTGCTGCCAGGTCCAGAGTGTCTCATGGGTCCCTGTACAGCCTCCCATTGCTGCTGTCTCCAACGCCACACTCTGCCATGTGCCACTTTCAGGTCTCCTCACACTGCTGGTGTGGTTCCATTTTTTGTCATAGGGTGCTGGCAGATTACGGGCCTCCCATTGCTGCTGCCAGGCCCGTAATCTGCCATGGGCCCCCACGTTACTGTACCACCTCCTCATAACGCTGCTGCCAGGTCAAGGTCCCAGAGTGTCTCATGGTCAGGTCCCTGTACGGCCTCCCATTGCTGCTCAGTCTCCAACGCCACACTCTGCCATGTGCCACTTTCAGGTCTGCTCACACTGCTGGGTGGTTCCATTTTGTCATAGGGTGCTGGCGCAGATTACGGGCCTCCCATTGCTGCCTGCCAGGCCCGTAATCTGCCATGGGCCCCCTGTAGTACCGGCCGCCTCCTCATGCTGCTGCCCGCAGGTCCAGAGTGTCTCATGGGTCCCTGTAACGGCCCTCCCATTGCCTGCTGTCTCCATCGCCATCACGCTGCCATGTGCCACGTTCAGGTCTCCCTCACACTGTGGCTGGTGGGTTTCTCATTTTTGTATAGGGTTGCTGGCAGATTTTACGGGCCTCACTTCCCACCTCATCAGGTGCTGCACATTTACGGGCCTCACCATTAATGCTGCTAGGTTCGTAATCTGCCATGGGCCATACTTACCGCCACACTCATGCCATGCTGCCAGGTCTACAGAGTTCACGTCATGGGTCCTGTACGGCCACACATTGCTCGTTGATTTTCCATTTTGTCCACACCTCTGCATGGTGCTGGCACTATTCACGGTCTACCTCACATTTCTGCTAGTCAAATCCATACAGTGTCCTAAGTAAGTGCTGGCAGATTAATGGGACCTCCTAGTAACCCATCGCCAAGGCACGTAATCCATGCCATGGGCTGCTGTAACCGCCCTCCTCATGCTGCGTCGCTAGGCCTAGGTCCAGATTGTCTCATGGGTCCCTGTACGCTCCCATTGCTGCGTCTCCATCGCCACAGCTACTCTGCCCATGTGCCACTTTCAGGTCTCCTCACACGCTGGGGGTTCCATTTTGTCATAGGGGGCTGTAAAGGGCCCCCCATTGGGTGCTGCCT